GCGTTGAAATATTTTGCCCCTTGGCCAAGCGCAACATGAAACGAATAATTTTTATTATTCCCACTCCCGTCTCTCTCTCGCTCGTGGAGCCCGGGAATCGTCCTTCCATCAGACGGAAGAATCGCTCTTTCAGCCCGCATCCGGATCCGCATGGAATCCCCCGTACGGAACGAACGAATAATGGTGTTTGTGTTCGAAAATACATTTATTTGAGGGCGTTGCCGGGCCTGGTGAGAGGGCGAATCTCGCAGCAACCGTATGCCCTTTGCTCTGCGGCTGCGGCAGTTGACACAAATTGTCAGTTCATCAACGCCTACCGGGCGTATGCGTGATATGTGGGCAGTGGCAGCGGCAGCGGCAGCCCAACGAGCTTCGTTAGCCAACTTTTGTGGCGCCCAGAGGGGAGTGACCAAGGGGGTGTTGGGTGGGTGCTGGTGCGTATAAATCCTACACGTTTAACCATAACCGAATCGAAGCTAAACGAGAGCAGCAGCTCCTCCAGTCCATACTCGACCGGCAATTCCATAGCCCCTTTATTCAGTCCATTGTTGCCTGTCCATATCAGTTTTGGTCATTGCCTTTGTTGGCCATGTCATTGTTATTAACTTTTTATGGCTTATTACATAAGCAGCGCAAATCCGACTGACAACGCATACGTGACATATCCGAGACGAGGAGGGGGAAGTCTTCTCTGTGTGTGTGTATCACTAATTAAATATAGTATATAGAGCTGCTGCTTCTGGCCATAAATAAAACAATAAAAATACGCCTGATTGCCGTGCTAAAAGTTAACCCCAAATGAGGCAGCTCAGATCAACCTTTCGAACCCTTGACCCGGCTAAATCCCTTTCAATCGGACGGATTCAATTCCAATTCCCAGAACAATTAGTTCCGTCAGACCCAAGAAAAAATCCCAGGGCATCCGAGAGGGCGACTGGAAAAAAAAGGCAGGATCTTCGCACGCCGAATCAATTGACAAAAGGTATTAAAAGTTTCGCAGCTGAGCGGAAAAAGTTTATCCTCGGCCTCGTGCCGAATCACAGCAAATGCTAAACAGCAATTCCCCGACTTTGTGCCCCATTAAATGGCAAACCAATATGGTGAATGGCGAATGGCGATGGCGAATGGCGGGAGCCCAGACGGGAGTCTATATCGTAAATTGTGCGAAACGCAAAATGAGATACGTAGTTCGCATACCAAAGGATTTATAAGTAAAACATTTCTGATTAGCTTCAGGAGGGGAGTGGAGGAGAGGAAAATTGGGATGGGAACCGAGTATTGGGTATCCCTGACCGAGTCCCTATGTGTGCTTTTCCCCCACTGGCTATTTCTATTTGATGTCCTGTGCTGACCTCGCTGCGGTTTCTCTACGGTCTGTGTACGGTTCCTTGTGCCTCGGTTGGCTTTGGAAGTGCGCAAGTATAATAAAATCAAGATACAGATACAGATACGCAGCCTGGAGGAGGTGCAGGAGGAGGTTAGCAGGAGATGTGCAAACAGAGCTCCTCGGGACTGGCTCCTCTGTCTCTGCCACTAATTGAACTTGTGTGAACGTATTAGGGCTTATGTGCGAATGTTTGTCTGATTCAGCTTCAGCTTCAGCTTGAGCTCCTTCGAAGCCGAGGAGAATTTGGACCGCCTGGCAGTGCTTAGGATGAATAAAAATATTGTGTTAACTTTGGAACAACTCTCGGTTGATATAACAGCCCCGGGGAAGGCGTGGCAAGTGCCGAGTGTCGCGTCGCCCCTCTCTAAGTGTATTTGTTTCATTTGCCCTGAATGCTAATGATGGGAAAATTTGCGAATTTGCGCCAGACCAAATGGGGTGGCTCCTGCTGGATCGAAGTCAGTTTCCGAGTCCTCCTCCGACTGTCACCGAGAGTCTCTCCAAGAGAGAGTCTGAAATGCTAATGATGTAAAAAGCTTTGGCAAAGCTGAAACAAACGACAGCCGCTGTCTCGAAATGAGGAAACTGACTTAACTTAATTGAAGTTGCTGATGGCTTGGCTTGGCCCCGCCATTACCCCCTCCCCGCACAGTGGAGGAGGGCCTGGCCTGCGTTTAAGGACCAAGGATAACTCCGACCCGCTCTGATCGGAAGCTTGCTCGAAGTGATTTCGTAATTAATGAATTAGTGGGGTGCTGCGTTAGCGGTTACCCAGGGCCATGGCCATGGCCATAGAGTTTGCCTCTCTCAGGCCAGCGACTTCTGAGAGTTCTGGTTGCGAGTTGAACAAGTTTGCCGAGCTGATTACACACTAAACTTGGCCAAGATGGGGCCAGGCAGGCAAGCAGAATGGATAGTTAGCTATTATTCCATTATCAGGAGCTGAGCACATTGATGAGCTCCGCCAGACGCTCGTTGAAAACACTTGCAGCTGAATTATGATTTCATTAGAATTTATCTATCTTTAGCAACCCTACTTCTTCCCTTGGCCCGCGGCACCTTGCATAATAACTCATTATGGCAGCTGCATTTAGCCGGCTTTAATCGCTTCGGCCATCAGCTGCTTGGCTGGCTCCGCTCCCACTTTGGCTCTGCGTCTGAGAATGTGCAGCATTTCCGGCTCGTTAGCTCCACTGTAGGTGGTGCACGTGCCATGCGGGCCTTCCTGCCTGTTCTGAGCTGTGCTGGGCTGTGCTTGTGGTCCTGTTCCAGGACCTGCCAGCAGCCGCAGACAATGCTCCATTAGCATGCAGCATATTTTAATTAGCCAAATAAATTTACCATCCCGCCTGGCCAAGTCGGCTTCAGCTCCAGCTCTTGGCCAAAGTTGAGGCTCTCGCTCTCTTTCTCTACGGCTCAGCGGCTCACTTGGCCAGAATTTATTGGAGCGAAGGAGTGGGCATAAAACATGTAACAAGACTGAAATAGAGCAGCTTAAGATCCCTGAGATATCCTGTAAAATTGTATATATTCTGTGAGTTTTGTAATATAAAGCTCAAATATAAAAATAAATATGTACTTTTTACTTTAAAAAACAAATAAAAAAGTTTTAACTGTGTCTGGCTTAAACTTGTATCAAAAAGTGCAATTAATTTGTATTTAAAACTGGAATACGTTTAAATTATTCAAAGCTTAATTAAGTAATTTCCCTGATTAATAGTTAAGAGTACAAATAGTGTTAATGGGGCAAATTAAGAGCCTTTAATGCAATCTTCCTTTGGTTAAATTCAGACAGCTTCGAGACTCTAAAGCTATTGTAAATAAATATTGACATTCCGAGGACTATTGACAATTCAATTGCTTTATTGGCCATGCGGGTAATATACATAAATACATGTAAATGGCAATCATTGGCTTCAGTCTGGTAATATATTAACTTAATGTCCCAGCCAGTTACATCAGCCCCAAACACAATATACCCAAGGACCAAGGCCCTCGTACAGCGTATGAAAAGTATACAAAACACGTCGGATGTCGGGACTCCCTGGCGCCTGTTTAATTTCACTTAACGTTTAACCTGCTGCCATTAATCGAGCGCAATTAACGCGCCTTTAATGGCAGAGCTGGCCAGCTTTGCAATCAGTTTATACACACACACCTACATCCAATGTACACACACAGAGCCCGGCACATACATGCATATTTAATTAGCAAAGTCAACGCCGTGTACTCAAGGAAGGTTAACTGGGAAAAAAAAGGACGAAGCTCTCCTCGGGGGAGGAGATGCGGAGGGCAATGCGTCGCTTGATAAATAGCCAATAATTCTTACGCAGCCGTGGGGAAGGCAAGCTCCGCCCCAGAGCCACTGCCTGAGCCACCCTAGAGCCATACAAGAGCCACCCCAAAGAGGAGCCAGTGGGCAGAAGTTGCTCGGGGCCTCGTTGAGAACAAAATAAATTGCCGGCATCTAACCTTGAGCGTGTGTTGTGGCTATTATCATTTGTAATTTGCAGCAATTAGTTGGGGCTCAAAAATTCTAAAGCAAACTTTGTCGGGAACAACAACAGCCGCGGGGGGGCGTAGGGCAAAGGGACAAGGAGGACTCGGCACGAGGACTAGGAACAGAGCCAGCGGCCACATGGTCCTGGCCCAGACCCAAGTCCAGGCAGAGAGCAAAAACAAACAGCAGCAAAAAAAGAATTTATTGAGCTGGGGACCAGCTTACATATTTATAAGGCACATTAAATTAATTTACGCATGTTTGTCCCTATTCCATCGGGTGGAACAAAGGTGAGAGGTTGGCCCTACCACCCCCTAAGTAACCTCCCCGCATGCCCCTCGTTTGTACTGGTAGTCTGCCCAGACCCCGGGGGGCAGTTCAATGGCATTGATGAGGTCTAATGCTCCCGGGACATCCGAGAGTCATCGGAGAACGGCGGCGGCTCATTGAACGCTTGCTGAGCCACTGACTGGCGGCGGCACACACTCAGACCACGAAAGTGCACTTCAATGAATAATTACTTTGATGGGCGGACCAACCGCCCGCCAGGCCACTGAAGAGCCAAGGCACTGAGGTCCAATTAGGCAGACAAGAAAGGTGGACTCCTGAACTTATTTAATCGTTATCAAATGTGTGCCTTAAATGCTTGTTCCGATAGTAATAAAAATAATGACATTCTGGTAAATATAAGTCAATATAAGTGTTTTTCCTATTTGCCATACAAATATGTTGGAAATAGTCTGTTTTGATTTCCAAAAATAGCCGAATATAGGCCAAATGTGTCTTTAAAATGTTTATAACACCAACATAAAAGGTGTTGTATTTGTATATGAACAATTTGGGTTAACAAAATAAGTAATAAGCTTTGATAGTTGAACAACTTGAAGGGTATACATACTTCAACTTATCAAAGTTTTTATTTTTAAATTAAAAGTTGTTTTAATATGTTTTGTTTACTTTAATATGATTTTATGATTTTGGCACAGCTGCCAGATAAGATAAGTTTCAGATAAGTTGCTAAATGCTATCAGCATATTTTCCTATGTATAAATGTGCTACCAAAACACAAGTAGTTACAGTTTTGATTAGGTGGCAAGCAAGTTAGCATACATCATGTCTTTTAAGCCAAAAACCAGCTACAATGCGGTGGATAAGGTTTGGAGCAGTGAAAAGGAAAAATCCCAGTTCGGAGATGACTTGTCCATGGGCGAAATCATCTTCCAGGAGATGCTACGACATCCCAAGGATATTGCACAAGTGAGTAAGAAGAATACCTGGGTTCAGACCTAGTGAATGAATAATTGAAAAATCTTGTAGATATTGGAGCCCGAAGGCCGGATTCTTCTAAGGCAGGATCTGTTGGAAAATACCATGCGAATTGCTACCTTCATGCGAAACTTGGAACTCACTCAGTCGCACTTTGTGGGCATTGTGGCGGGAAACTCCATGCATATTTCGGCCGTTGCCTATGCCTGTTTGTTCAATGGCATCGCCATAAACGCAATAAACCCCGCCTATATAGGCGACATTATAAAAAATCTCTATCAGATCACCCAGCCTCGACTTATCTTCTGCGACGGCGATGTATACGAGAAGGTCAAGGCATCCACCGCTAAATTGAACGTTCAATTGGTGAGCATGCGGAATCATCCAGAGGGTGTCATGACTATCGAAGAGGTACTGCAAACTAAGGTGCAAGAGGAGTTCAAGCCCACTTCCCTAAAATTGGATAATATCCCGATAATGGCCATTCTCAGCACTTCTGGCACCACCGGCACACCCAGGGCCGTAGCGATAACGAATAATCGAAAAGTTTTAAATGGCTTTACGTAAGTGAATCACTCTTATCTGAAACCCGAGATGATTATCTTTGTGTTTACTTGCAGATCTCTAACAACCTCAGACGTTCAGTACGCAGCCAGCTCCCTGGATTGGGCAATGGGTTTGATGGTCACCATCGCCGAGGGTGTTTATAGCACAAAGCGCATTATATCCGAGAAACCTTTGGAACCAAGCGAAACCCTGAAGTTACTCGAAAAGCATCAGGTGACATGGATCGCGCAGTCGCCGGCACAAGCAGCTTCCATAGTGAGTTGTCCCTTCTTTAAGGAGGCAAACCTGGAGAGTCTTCGTTATTATAATGTAACAGGAGGTCGCTGTACCATGGAAGTTCAGAAGAAACTTCGCAGGAAACTCGGCAGGAACTGTATAAACTTTGGCTATGGCAGTTCAGAGCTAGGATCCTATGGCTGTATAAATTGGCACTTCGATGAAAAGCCCAATTCGGTGGGTAGGCTTTGTCCTGGTTACAAGATGAAGATTATAAACGGCCAAGGTGAAAATCTGGGACCCAACGAGGAGGGCGAGGTGTGCATTGACATGGGAAGCTATTGGCCGGGCTATTATGGCAACCCGGAGGCTACGGCCTTGGTATACAAGGATAACTGGTTGCACAGCGGTGACCTCGGCTATGTCGATGACGATGGCTTCGTGTACATCGTGGAACGAAAGAAGGACTTGTTAAAGTACCAAAGCAACAAGTACTATCCGCATGAACTGGAGGAACTGATCTCCAGAATGCCCGGCGTGGTCGAGGCGTGTGCCTTTGGAATCTGGAATGTGGAAAACGGAGACGAGGCAGCAGCCTGCATCGTGAGGAATCCCGATGTTGAGTTGAGTGAGCAGGAAGTGATCGATTATGTGGCACAACATGCAAATGCCCCGTACCTGAGACTGCATGCCGGCTGCCTGATTGTCGAATCTCTGAAACGCAGTCCCAATGGAAAAACTAACCGGGCGGCCAACAAGAAAGAATATATTAAAGCAAAGGGTATTCAAATTGAAACATAAAAGGCTGAAGACAGTCTCATAAAGTATTTAAACACTTGAACATAAATACTATACACTTAATTCTTTCATACATATTTTTTGGTACTTTGAACCATGCTTAAGTAAATGCCATAAAGTGGGTAGGTTTATTAAACTGCAGGACATTTTAATAACAATCTGGAAGTGTCTTGTTTGGGGTTGGTAAAGTCACGTTTTAATTACTTCGTTTTGGTTTTGGTAAATTCTCAAAAAATGCAAGGCCAGTTACGAGAGCAGGACTAAAGCCCTACTGCATTCCCTACTGCTCATTCCGTTTCGAGTACCAGTCCTGTTTAAGGACCTCTGTGCAATCAGGAATGTCCGCATCAATCTGTGTGCAGCAGGGGGTCCCTGAAACTTGCAACACGCTTCCCACAAATCGATTTCCCAATCAGGAGCAGCCATCTTGTCGCCCCTTCAAGAGGATGTCACTGGCGATTGCCTTTCACACTGCCATCAGGGGGAGCTCTAATCTCTTCGAACTGTTTATGGTGGCGATACGCACTGTACTGTGCAAGTTCATATACAGATATATGTATATTTATATATATTGCATCCATATTCAATAAGAAATCATGGCCTTAGTCAGGCATTCATGACATTCTGTGTCATTTGCCAACGTTTCTAAGTGTGTGTGTGTCCTGCCACAGAATTTTCCATTTGGGATTACATGCCGTCCCTTGAGCAAACACACAATTTATAGCAAACAGCCAGGCCAACAACAATTAGTTCTATTGATGGAAGCGTTGCCATAACACATATGTCCCGGCATAAATAATAGATTTGAAGCCACCGTCCACCGCCACAGCACCACCTCCAGCTCCAGCTCCAGCTCCATCTCCATCTCCAGCCGGTGCCGCACCAGAAACCCACAGAACAAAGCCAAAACCCAAGGCAGAAGCAGAAGCAGAAGCCCAGATGTACATGCAAAGTTTTTCCTTGCCAGGCGTATCCATTTTACACTCGCACAACTCAAGCCGAAGGCAAATGGTGTGCGACTTATGCTGATCCGTATGCCACTTCCACTTCCACCTCCATATCCTGCGCCACTTCCCTTTGCCACGGCGGGAGCGGGAGCGGTGGCGGGACCGGAGGAGGTCTTGGCCCGGACCCCTTGTGTTAGATAAATTGCAGTTTAAACCTACTTACATCCATGTGCCGGCCCCACCTCCCAGGCTGCACTGCAGCGGGCGAGAGTGGCTCCGAATGCGAGCCGGAGCCGAAACTGAGACCGGGTCCACGATTCCCATTGCCATAAACATTTTTGGGCACAGTCAGCTAAAAGATTGGCGGAGAGGGTGTCCTGCACTCTGCGAAATAATGCCGTAAAATCGATATTTAATTTTGAAATTTACCACAAAGTCGCTTTAGATTAGCTTGTAAGATAATAAACTAATAATAATGAACTGCTACTACATATTTGTGTAATTAAATTTATAGAGAAAACAAAGATTAAGTTAGACATAGGATAAGAAGACTGTGAAATCGATAACTAAGTCAAAAATGCATTAATTCCAATTTGGAAAGCTGTTTTGTGCTTGTTTTTATAGGGCTAACAAATCTGCATACTGGGTTTTCCAATTTTAAACCATCAATTTTTTGTCAAATTTTGACAATTTTAATGATGTGACCCCTTATAAAATTTTCAAATTTCGAATAAATTAAAAAAAATTAGTTTTCTTTCAAAAGTGGCTTGATCGATTCGGCTTTTCATGCTGATCAACAATATATATACTTCATGGGGTCGGAAATGATTCCTTCATTGCAAAACAAGCTTCAGACTTAATCTAAATCTAAAATCAGAATACTATTCTTTGAGTCGATATTTATCTAAAATTTATATGACATTTTATCTAAAAATCAATGCTTAAAAGTCTCATAACTAAGCCAAACATGCATTAATTTTAATTCGGAAACCGTTCCTATGCTAGTTTTTATTAGGTTAATAAATCTGCATACTCAATTTAAAGTTTTAAAAAATTCAATTTTTTGCCAAATTTTTACAATTTTAATGATGTAACCCCTTATAAAAATTTGAAATTTATAAAAAAATTCAAAATTTTATTTTTCAACCGGACATGTCTAGATCGATTAGGATTTTGATGCTGATCAATAATATGTATGATTTATAGGGTCGGAAACGACTTCTTCACTGCATTTCAAGCTTTTAACTGAAACAATATTACCCTTATTTCATTGAAGGAATAATTAGCGGAGCTTTTATTTTAACCCATTGCCATCTTTAACGATCGATCTTTCTTTAATTTAATGGACAATTTTATTCAACAAAATAACCAGAAGACAAATACAAAGCAAATGCTGAATAAAACAAAACAAATATTGATTGAGGAGTTTGCGAAAACAATTACGAAGCCAAAAATGGATTTTTAATTTCTTATTGCAAATTTTCCATTTTCCCCCGATGGTTTCAATAACAATGGAATAATATTTTGCTGAGCGTAGAACTGGTTAAATGAAATGGGGCGCAAGCGTTGCCAATGTTGCATGCCACATGTGAATGCATTCGCCACACATTGCCATTTGCCTCCTTTTTTTGACTGCCTGCCAAGCTGAAATTGGAATAGACTCCGGCTTAGTGCTGGCATTGTACGAGTAAGCGGCTCAATATATTTTTAATATACTTAGTTGGATGGCGACATTGTGGAGTTCCGACGGGGTGGCCAGACAGGCGGGCAATTGAAGCTTTGGCGGTAAAAGTTAATACGATTTAACCGGATCAGAGGCCGCAGACAACGAGCAGCGGCAGCAGCAGTAGAAATATGTAAATATACATGCCCTCTGACAAAACTCAAACTCAATGGTGGATGGGAGCGGGGGCAACTACGCCACTTCGACTGGGCCCAAAAATATGTATTAGGCCACTTGGCTGCTGGCTGTGGGAGGCCACTCGAGGGCGGGGCCAGATTTGTTGAGCTCATTCGCTTCATGAATAAATTGCGCCACAGCGTCGGCATCCCAGGGGTCCTTAGGCTCCCAGCTAACCCCAGTTGCTAACCCGCCATCGACCCGCCTCAACCCGCGGGGTAAACAATAAACAAATGGGCAAAAACATATGCAAAGGGCCTCTCCGCCGAGGAGGAGCGTATTCAAATAGAGTTGACAGACGAGGACGAGGACGAGTGACGAGTGGAGCGGGATGGGGCAGGATGGGGGCATCGATGGCGTCATCGTGCAGCGGGTTGGGAGGAGTCGAAGCGGGGTCCTTGAGGTCCTCGCAGTTAGCAAGTCATCTAGTCATCTAGCCATCAGGCGCCTCCGAACAGCAAACAAATGGTCTCAGGTCGCAACGCGATAAAAACGTGTGAAATGGCATTTGGCAGAGGCCTCAGTGCTCAGTCCTCAGTCTCTTCCTTGTTTCTATCCCGTCTTTGGCCTCATTCCCTCATCTCTTACGGCTCACTGCTGACATGCCCTCATCCGCATCCCAGCTTGTCCCTGTCCCGGTCTATCTGGCTTCACCTTTTGGCAAATGATAGTTTTTATCGCTCTGGCCCCGGGACTCGAGTGTTTTTCGGGACGATGAGTTATGGTTGCTGCATCAAAAGGCTTGGCAAAAACAACACAAGGCGAAGGTGAAGGTGTGTAAGACAATCGTCCACACATGACCATCAGTATCGCCATCAGCTTCATCTCCAGCTCCAGCTTCAGGTCCAGGTCCTGGTCCTGCCAGGCTCAGCATCAGCATCAACATCAGTCTTTTGGATGCTCCACAGCTTACCCGCTCTTCGAGAAGGACAAAACGTGTGCTCAATCCATCACTTGCCTGTCATTGGCGTCTTGGCCAGCAGCCATGGCAACCTTGCAGCATCCCCGCCAGCATATACTGGCTTCCGACTGCAGATAATGTTTATTGGCCTGCTAGCTGGTTAATTTTAATACCGCCACAGCCTGATTTATTGCCCGGCACTGGACAATTGAAGGTCCACGTCCTCGTTCTTGTCTCTCCACTTCATCCGCCAATGGCAATACAATAAACTGCACTTGCTGGCCTGGAAAAATGTCTCATTAAGCGGGCGGACGGATGGACGAGCCACGTCCACGCCCACACCCACCCCCACCGAAGGCAACATAAAAAACTCGTTTACCTGCATTAAGCGAAACACTCAACAGACGGCTGAGGCATAAAGGAAATGTGACAGCCTCCGGCGGGAGGTCCTCCTGCTGGTCCTTGGTCCTGCCGAATCCCAGGCGGATGCCACAAGTGCCCCACTGTTCGCACGTGAAGAGGAAAAGCTGCTCGAGCTCCTGTTCATCCTGTCGCTTGGCTGCTCAGCTCCTTTGTCTCTCTCCCCCCCCCATTTCCAAGTCTCCTGCAGCGCAGCCGAAAATGCAAATCAGCTGTAAAGCGACGCGCTTTCGGGGGGATAACATTCCACCCCAAAAAACCTCCCCTCAGCCATCGCACATCGCAATGCGGCAGCAAGGACCCTCATAGCCTGCCAGGACCTCCTTGTAATTGCGCGCACTTGGCGGTTAATGGGGGCGACAGGAGCAATCTCAAAAGAAATGTATGAAATTTGTATGGGCCAAGTCGGGCGAAAGTGCAATCCGCCCCCCCAAACACTCACAGTCAAAAGGAGCAACGGGCTCAGGGATGGATTTGCCCAAGATCGCAGGCTTTCCTCCAAGTAATCCCCGCTGAGCATACAATGAAATTATGTCTGGGAAGCCTTCTGATTTCGAAAAGCCATTCCTAACTTGCTTGAGATTAAATGTACTTTGGTTAAATATGTTTTACTAACCAAAATTTATAATTGTGATAAGGAAAACGCTTGTCCTGAGAATCTCCTGACATGCCTCAGTGAACGCTGTTGGCTTTCACCTCACTGATCGATCTTGTGTTTTGGCCAAAAAGGAAAGGCACTCCTGTGATGCTACCTCATCTCGCTTCACTTTGTCCCTTGAACCCATTTCCTGCTCCATTGTTTGCTGTCGCTTTCCAGGCCTGTCCTTTGTTCTTC